GGGAAAAAGGAGAGGAGTTTGTCCAAGGGGGAAAATATGGGCAGAAACGATGCAGAGGGTCCTGTGTATCTTTTTTCTTCTTTTACTGCCTTGTTTCATGCTTCCCATCCTAGCCTCAGACTCATTAGTTCCATCAAGGCCACCCCCACTCTGATGAACTATGTCATATTATATCAGGCTGGATTAAAAAATCATAATGGTCTCACTTGGCTTTCAAACATGTGACTCTATAGTTAGCACTAGTGAATTGCCTGTCAAGAATGATGGGGAGAGGTGGTAGGCAGGGAGGAAGCGTTGCCACCCACCACCCTGCGCCACTGCTGCCTCCCAGGAGCAGGAGTTGGTGGGGTATGTGGGGGTGTGGAGAAGCTTGCACTGCTATCCCCTCCGTCCCCCTCCACCAGCACCTTGTGCCCCTGCCGCCTTCAAGGTGCAGGGTCAGGGGTGAGGCCAGCACCCTCCACTCCATTTCCTCTGTCCCCATTGTCATGGCGGGGCTCTGTGGAGTGCTCTGTGCGGAGCACTCTGATTGGTTGTTTCAGTAAGCATGGTGATTGGCTGCCGAGACAAGCAATCAGAGTGCTCCAAAAGCATTATGGACAGACAGATGGACTATGCCCTTTATATATATAGAATTACTGTGATTTTATTGATTGTGATTTTCTGGACATATACACACACTCATCCCAAGCACAGTTTAGTATGTCAGGGATGGTAGCTGAGCAAAAAACCCAAGGAGCTGATTTTTAATTGGTCTGATGTATAAAATCTGCATGAGAGATCCCATTCTGACTGATTTTGAGGGTAGAACAGAGCTTCTGTAGACTTTAATATGTCTGGACTTACATGGTTGGTGAGATGGGAGAGCTACACCTGCATAAGATAGGAAGGAATGTGGCATTGTGGATAGTGGCACGGCAGGTCTTTCTCAACATTGAAAACTGATTGTCTGATGGAAAGATTCTGATAAACTTAGTAAGAGGTGAATAGGGCACCTACAGCTAGATAAGCAGAAAGTTAAGCATTTGAAATTGAGCATGGAGCAATGACTTCAACTTTGAAAATGGTTTATAAATCTTTATTAATTAATGTAGCTAATTAATAAAGATAAGAAATGTAGATACATCTTAAGTTAAAATAAGGCTGAGAGAGGCCAATAACTTTCTAACTTGGAAATGCAGAGTTTATTTGACCTTATAATATTTGTATTTTTGAAAAAAATTACATCTAAATTCCATGTAAAATTGTATATATTCATTTGATCATGATATTATTCAGCCCTGTTCTGCTGTGTTAATGACTATAACCAGATGTTTTAAGTAGGAATTATGCAATCTGGAGCCTTGGAACAAGTGAGTTTACATCCCAAACGTAGTCTTCTTGTAGGAGGTTGGTTGTTTCTTATCTGTTACTCAATTCATTATTTTTAAACACTGGGACAATAAGACTCCCTTTCTGGCACCATTTTTTCTATCTCATTTATTTAGATTTTAAGCTCTTCAGGATAGGAACTGTCTTCTTCTATATGACTTTACAGCACCTAATACAGTGGGACTTCACAGCAGTACAGTAATATGAACTTACTAGGGTATAAGTCAGGGATCAGCAACCGACAGCCCATGGAGACTTTGGATGTGGCCTGCAGCCGTGTCTCTGGCAGCATTCAGCACTGGGGGTCTCCCATTGTGCTATGCCACAATGGGGCACCTAGAACTCTGGGGGAGAGGGAATGCTGCCTACACTGTGCCAGTTAGATGCCCAGGGCTTTGGCAAAGGCCATTTATGCCCATGCCACACTCCATTCAGGTGGTATGAGTTCTGGCAGATGGGGGCACGTGGCATTCATGATATGAACCACACATAGTCCCTGCTCCAGCCTTTCCAGGATGGGTGTTACATGCAGCCCAAATCCCAGAGTGGGTGCTGTATACCAGTGCTGGATACAGAATGCAGAAGGAGAAGTCCTTGGGTCTTTCCACATGCAAGATTCAGTGCCTGCTCTGCTTGGTCTTGGACTGTGCCACATGCAGTGCCTGCTTCAGCTGATTTAGGATCTGCGCTGATGTCACCCACCCTGGACTGGCTGGAGTGGGTTCTGTGTGCAGCTCGTGTCCTGGACTGGCCAGAGTGGGTGCTGGATCCAGCATGTAAGGTGGGAGGAGTTCCATGTGCCCAATGTGGTCTATAAGCCTTGTCCTGTGCCATTCATTGCAGGAGTTTAACACCTCTGCTCTAGTCTTTTTAAGTCCTAGCAGGAAAATCACTACATCCTAGTCAACATTCCCAGCCTTTTTTGTGGCCAAACCCAATGCTTCTAAGGAAGGTGGAAAACCCAGATGCCTGTAGCAACAGGACAAAAAAATCCTTTCTGCCCGCATGTGGCAACCAGCAAAGCCCAAATGCATGGGATAGCCAGACACTTTTCATGCTGCCCTGCAACCAGGGGACCACTAGCATGATTCCACACATTTGAAAAGTCTCCTGAATATTGTTTACTGGAAACATAGGATCTTTACATTCAAATTCCAAGAAGTTACCCAATCTGGAGAAAGAATCTTCTCCCAGAGCTTCAACTATAGCTCTGTTTATTGGAGAGGAGCACGGACATGACAGCGGACTTCAAATACTTGAAGGGCTACCATGAAGAAAAGGGAAAGCACCTTTTCTCTCTTGCTGCAGAGAGGCAGACACAGACTTCAGACATGGCCTGAAGTTGCAGCTAAGTGAGTCTGGATTGACTATTTGGAACAATTTCTTCACTGTAAGAACAGGAGACTGTCTAGGGAAGTTGTGAACTGGAGGTGTTCAAGGAGGTCACATCACTGGAGGTGTTCAAGAAGAGGTTGGACAGCCACTGTCAGGGATGATCTAGGAGTAGCTATCCCTATGTATTTTCCATGCTTCTGGGCTTTGCTCGTTGCCTCCCCCGCACCCCTTTCACATCTCATCTTTTCTGCTACATGTGTAAATGTGTTTTTAAGCCAAAGTCAGACCAATCACCATATTTGGGGTCAGGAAGGAATTCTATCCCATGGTCAGATTGTGGTTTGTTTTGCCTTCTTCCATAGTGCGGGGTGTGGCCCTGTATCAAGAGATTCTGGGTCATATATTTACAACATTATAAGTGATTGGAAGCTGGTTCGAATCTGTAACACAACAGAAGTTCAGTGCACATAAAAAGCTTCCAAAATGGCTGAAGCTGCTTTAAGATGAACCTGCATGGATGTAGTATCAGACATGACTGATTTAGGTCAAATTGGTTTATCAAACTTCTGCGCTAGATCCCCTCCAGAGTCAAGTTAACTCAGTCCCTCAGCATTCCAGGATGTTTTGCACCTCCCCGCAAACCCCAACCCCCCCCCAGTGTGGGTGGGCTAGTCTTGGTCCAAGGTGTCTGCTCTAGAGAGGGGAGGTTTGTGATGCCTGCAGTGGCCCAGGTCAGAAGCTATGCGGCTGCATTTCTGGAATCAAAAGGGAATGTCTGTTCACTTGCTTATGGGTTCAATCTATGCAGTTTAGACTAACCTATGAAGATTGAATCAATTAGCCTCCGGCTTTTTGACCGTCTGTACTTATAGAAGCAGGACATTGGCTGCCGTGGTTCCCCTGCTTTACCTGTAGCAGGTTAGGGCAGGTTTATGTTGTGTCAGGGTTGAAGGCAGTCTTACGTAGAATTTATATCAGCAATTCCCAAACTGCAGATAGGGTCACAGAAGTTGGGGGTTGGGAGTGAGGGGCCATACTGAGAAAATGGGGTCATGCTGAAGAAATGGGGCCATAAAAGGGGTCATGCTGAGGAAGTTTGGGAAGCACTGATTTAAATTATGTTTTGTTGAAATAGGGATGATCCTGCCTCAGGCAGTGGATTACACTACAACAATGGTTCCCAACCTTTTTTGTACCAGGACCTATTTGTAAACATCAATGGCCAGTCCTGACCCAGTGGCCCTCACTCTCCCTACCCCCAGGCCCCAACCCCCCAGTGTGTGGGGCAGGAGGGGCCCCAAGCAGCCCCTTGCAAGCTGGAACTCTGCCTGGTGGAAACTTCTGCCTTTTACATACAACACATTTCTGAGCCTTTTGGCTCAGATCAAATGTAGCTCCTGTGCTTACCTGGCAGGGGAAACACCATGACAACTGAGGCGGTTTTCCTAGTCGCATCCAAGAACAATTGCTTTCCTGGCATGTGGGTAGGAACTGTGAAGGTAATGTATAGTTAATCTCCCACTTAGCTTCTGGAGTGGGAAGATCTTGGTTTTATGCCCACTTTATGGAAATGGGAGACTCCTCTCTGGCTTGCTCCTGCAGCCACACAGCTAAGGCAGGCAAAACTCAAGGGCATCTGAACCTCAAGCCTCCAGGCTTGGGCCTGCATGTAGGATGCCCACCAAAGAATTTGGAAACAACTGAAGCCCCTGCTGGGGGTGGAAAATGTTTGCCAGTAGTAGGGCCATTTATGGCTCTGGACTGACTCATGGATTTGGAATTGATTTGGCTGTTTTGGCTTGGAATACAGGACATTAAAAATAAAAATCTGTGCTCGTGGACCCTGCTGGCCGATGAAATTAAGAGTATCAGGGTGCAATGCTTTCTTCAAAGAGTTCCACCAAGGGGCAAAATGCCTCCCCCTGGCACAGGGGTATAAGTTGTAGCTGGGCTGGTCTAAGAAGGCCGTAGGTGGATATGGTTCTTCGGGTAAATCGGGTATCTTTTGGAGGTCTAATAAAAGATATCGGATTTACCCAAAGAACCACGTCACCCTGGCACAGGAACGAACTGAGTGCGTGGTGCAGCAGTCACAAAACCTCCACGGCCGCTGGTGCGAGGCAAGGCACAGGGGGGTTGTCTAGGAATCCCCCTCACGGAGAAGCCAGGCGCTGCGCCCCGCAAACTTGTGCGGATCTGGGAGCGGCAGCCACGAGGCGCGCACCACGCGCCTCTCCAGCTGCAGTAGCTGGGATATCGGGGGCGGGCCCAGTCCTTCCCGCTGCGGAAGTCCGCGCACGCGGCTCAAGCGGGGGAGGAGCCGCAGCGCCCGGCCTCTGCCTGCGGTATGTCTCACCCGTGTCCGGACCCTAAGTCTGCCAACCCCACCAACCCGCGGGTCTTCTTCGATGTCGACGTCGGGGGCGAGCGAGGTGCGGGCGGGGACGGGATGGAACGGGACAGGACACTGGGGTCACCCGCCTCGGCACGGCACGGAACGGAACGTTCCCGGCCCACGGGGGGGGGGCCGCGAGCCCCGGCGGGGATGGCACGTTCTTGGGCACAGGGGTCGCGAGCCCCTAGTGGGGCCTGGAACATTCCGGGCGGCGTCAGGCACCCCTCGTGGGAAATGGAACATTCCCGGGGCTGGGGGAGTTGTGAACCCCTAGTGGGGAATGGAACGTTCCGGGGAGGAGGGTCGTGAATCTCAGGAGGGCAGTGGAACGTTCACTGAGGAGCAAACGCTTCCGGGGGGGGCGGGGCGGAGCGGAACGTTCTGGATGGGAGTGGAACGTTCCAGGCCTGCCTGTCTCGCCCCGCGTGGAGCCCGCGCGCAGGGGGTCGCTTCCCGCTTCCAGCGCGGGGCCAGGCGAGCTGTGCCTGGGAGCCCTTCCCCCAGCAGTGGGGCACCGGTTCCGATCCCCAGGAGAGGGCACTGGGCACCCCAGTGTGTGGCCGTGCTTAGGACAGAGGAGCTGGGGTTGGGTGTCTTCGGTACTTTAGGAGGCCGAAGGAGCGCCCTACAGGCTGCCCCCCACACCACCTCAACTTGGCTCAAACACCAGCGGCAAGGCTGGGTTGGGTGCACCTTGTGTGGGGTGTTACCCAGCACCACCCCCTGCCCCGCTGCATCCCCATCACTGACCCTCCCGCCCCGTGGAGAAAGGGCTATAAAACCTGCCCGGCACCGTGTCCTGCCTTACGCTGCCTTCCTGCATCTTCCCATGAAAGCTGGGTGGAAACCAGCTGTAGAGTTGTTACCTGTTTTCAAGCACTGATGTTCCAGCTGGCTGGTTCTCTCTCGAGCTGGAGACTCCTTTATTTTTAACCCGGTGATAATTACTTTACCTGCGTGGTTGGTCTGAATATACTGCACCATTCACCAATTGATGGTATAATATACAGAAGGTGTAGCTGGGGCTACAGGGTAGTAGTGTATTGCCTGCAGGTACAGAGGGGGACTTGTTTCCTAGTGGGGCCTGTTTGGGGAGGGTGTAGAAAAGAGATAAGTTACAGAACCAGTAGGAAGTCTCAGGTCCCTAGTTAGTTACCACTGCAAGAGGATCCCCCAAAGCTCTCTCCAACCTGGGTGTTAGGCTCCTGGTGCACATTACACTTAAGGTGCAATTAACCAATCGTGTCCTAAGTTGTGACCTAGCCACATGTTAAAGCAGTTCCTGGTGTCAAGGAATAAGCCACAGTTATTCCAGAAAAAAATGCATACCTTTAAAAATTAGTTGAGCCATTTCACTTGTGTTGTAATTGCCTATTTAACTATTAATCACATTATTCAAAACAGGAAGCTTAAAGAAAAGTTTATTAAATGCTGTCTTACCAAATGGTAGTCATTTATTTATAAGCACTGTGCTTTGCTTTTGCTCCACTATTAGATTTACTACTGTTACATGTTTTTAGAATGACACACTCTTAGGCAGTTACTTGAGAGCTGAAAAACATGACTGTCAGGCTGATAAGAAAAAGAAGCCAGCTTATGAAAAAGTTAGTGTTTTAAGGATTCATTGACCAGCTATAGATTAACTCATTTGCTAAGTAAAAACATATATGTATCATAGGAGTAGATGTGTGTGAAGGGAAATTGTTTACTCTGTATCTTTAGCTACATGAACACAGTGTACTCCATTTAAATGCGTATCTTTGATACTGAAAACAGGCTATGCACTCACTCACAATACATATGTACTTACCCAGATTGAATGCTTGTTAAATACACAACGTTGTCAAGATCATGTCATTAGCAGCTATGGAACGGACTAGAATTCATTTTCCAGGCTTCTAATAGTTGCTGTTAGCACCAGTGTTAGAAGCCTGGAAAATGAAGGGAAAGAGCAGCCATGCAACTGCCTAGCTCCTGTCATTTTCAAGGCTTCTGAGGGCAATCCTTTGACAGCAGCTTTCCCTTGGTTGTTTCAGTGGCAAATAAAGGAAGTACAATTAGCTCAGAAGTAGGCAAATAGTTACAATTAGTATGTAGTTAACCAAAGTACAATTAAGGGTACGAACACAAGTATGTTTGGAGCCATTTCAAAAGGGCTGCAGCTGCTATGTTCTAATTGTGTGTGGACAAGTTGGGAATGATACAAACAGAGCAAAACTCCATCTTTTAACACTGCCTCATCCAGCATTAAAGTTGGACCAGTTTTGCTTTGGTTGTATCATTCCCAATCTGCCCAATTAGAAAGTAACAGCTACTGCCCCATCCTCTTTTGAAACTACATCAAATGTATATGTTGATACCTAAATTTACAAAGTTGATAGTGGGACTGAAAATGCTATCTTCTGAATATTCATTTAATGAGCATGAACATAATGAGGGTTTGATACCATGTTAAGCAATATGCAAGAAACCCAGGATTGGCATTGTTATCCAGTTAACAAATTATGCGCTTTTCTAGTATGTATGTAAGTGGATTATAATGTAGCTGCATGTAGATTAGATACTAATATATGTGAGTGTTAGGAGGATTAGGATCTACACAAGAACAGAGATTTTCTATGGGAAATTCCAATCTATATTTAATCTAAATGGCTGAAAACCAACCTTCCCATCTGTTGTCTGAAATATCTCAGTTTTGTAAACTTTGATATAATTTTTTGCTAAACATTTCAATTAAACTTAATTTTTTTAATCAAATTCCATTAAAACAATACCCCATTTACTAACTCAGTCTTTTACATAAATACATTTTAGACAGATGTGGCATCTATGTTAGTCTGTTGAAGGCCTGTCAATCTATCTATAAGCCAGAAAATAGCCCATACCATATACACATAGATTATCAAAATTATTTTGGGCAGCATGTATCATTGTCTAAAATTGTTATGGTGCTTATCTTCTTTACAGATTGCATCTGTGCTAACAGATTTTTGTAGTTTAACCAGTAGCAGTTACAGGAATATACAAGAATTGTATATATATATTTTTAAAGTAGGTTAATTTAATATTGGCTTAAATAATGCTAATTATTCAGTTTAAAATAGCTGGTACAGAATAATGTTTATCCTGACTGATTGAGGCCTGCACTTGTTTTGGAGATTGGATTCCAAATCATCTCTTTCTTTCCAGCTGGTCGAATTGTCTTTGAATTATTTGCTGATATTGTACCTAAAACTGCTGAAAACTTCCGTGCACTGTGCACAGGGGAAAAAGGACTAGGACTTACTACTGGAAAACCTCTTCATTATAAAGGATGCCCCTTTCACAGAAGTAAGTTTGAATCATTTTTGTTTCATTGCTCTTTCTTGGAATAATGTTTTAGGTTAAAAGTTACATAATATTTAGGAGTGCTTCATGTTTTGAAAGTCAGTTATATCAGTATTGTGTTAGTGATGTATGGATTTCTAGGAGTGATCATTATCTGCAGATGTGGATGCTCTTTACAATGGTGTAAGTTGTGCTGGTGTCCCTCGTGAACAAAGAACCAATTTTCAGAAGGCAACTGCCTGCAGTAGGCGCTGTTACCTTGCCTTGCAGCTTACATGGTGAGGGCACCAGCAGTAGCCTGTTTGTATTGAGCTAATGGCTGTCTTGGGATAAAGCTGATCAAAGCTGGATCACAACTTGGACATTACTGTAACTTAC